CCGGGCCCCGCGGGTGGAGCCGTTTCGCCGCCGCAACCCGCGCACCGCGGCGGCGCTCACGTCGCCGTACGCGCCGGCCGTGGGCGCCTCGCTCGCCGGCGTTGCGCTGGGCGTGTATCCCCCGCGGCAGCTGCGCGTCTCCATTGCCATCTACGCCATGTTCCGCGCGCTCGAGTTTGCGTGGAACGTCTGCGAGAGCGAGGGCCTCGTCTGGGGCGTCGGGGGGGGCAAGAAGCGCGAGCGGCCGTGGTGGTTTGGGAGCTGGATGCTTCAACCGCTGGCCTTTGGGCAGCTGCTGCACGCCGTGGTGTTTGACCGCGACTGTTTTCCCGCTGTGAGTCTTGCCGCGTCGAGCCAATGTTGTCGCCTTGCGTGCTGACCGCTGGGGGGGGGAATAACCGTAACAGGCATACGGCAGCTTCATCTTCAAAAACTCGGACGGATACCTGCACGCGCGGCCAGAGGGCTACTCGGGCACCGCCAGATGGCCCTCCACCACGGACGTGGTCGAGAGCCTCGCCCGCATGGCCAGGCTCAACTGGCCGGCGTACATATCGCCAACCATGTTCCCGGCCAAGGAGGTGCTGCCGCCCGGCCTCGAGGCCATATCGCCGCTGACGTGCCGGGCGCACCCGCTCATCACGTCGCTCTCGTGCGCGGCGCTGCACCCCTCGGACCCGTCGTGCGCCCGCACCTACCTCACCTTTTGGCTCGGCTCCTTCCCCCCGATGGCGCGCTTCTTCCTCGCCGTCTGCTCGGCCCTCGCCGTCGTCGCGCGCTTCAGGTCGCTGTACCACTTCCCCGTCACCACGCTCCAAAAGGTCGTTGCCAGCGCGCTCCGCATGTCCGCCTTTGCCACGGGCGCCATCTCCACCGCCTGGGCGTCCATCTGCTTCTTCCAGACGTACCTGCCGCGCCGGGTGCTGGCCACGCAGCGCTTCTTCCTGGGCGGCTTCCTCGCCGGGCTGTGGGCCTGGGTTGAGCGCCGCCACGGCCGCGGCGTCTTCCTGTACAGCGCGAGGGCGAGCGTCGACAGCCTGTGGAAGGTTGGCGTCAAGAGGAGGTGGTGGAGGGCCATGAAGGGCGGTGACGTGTGCGTGTTTGTCCTGGCCTTGATGGTGACGGGCGTGGTCTACGAGAGGGACGCGAGGGCCCTCCGCGAGAGGGAGTGGAGGAAGGGCGTCAGTTGGGTCAGGGGCGAGGGCTGGCGGGATTGGGCCATGGACGACGATGAGGACGCCGACGAGGCGAATGAGAACAAGATTGAGTGATGGGATTTTCTCCCTCCCTCCGACTCTTCGTCTTTGCCATCCTTGCGGCTGCTGATGGAAAGGGGTTCGCAGACTGGCCTCCATCAAATAAAATACACGACACGATCAAAATTTGTTTTGTAATGCTGGAGAAATCATGCATCGTCTTGTGCTGTGCCCTACCATCCAAAATTCCACCAACTAACCCTAACCCTATCCCTCGGCCATCGCGGCTCCTCGTCAGCTTCGCCTACGGAGCAGGAACCTTGCTCGCATCCCACCACGGATAGAACCTCTCCCCCGGCGCCAACGACTTGAGCGTGCATGCCGCGCCCTCGCACCCGGCAGACGGCTGCGTGTTGCCCCACCATTCAATCTCCGCGCCGACCCATTGCACCGAGAAGAGCATGATGATGGCCGATATAGCGATGCCCGCGGACAATGCCGCCGACAGCACAAAGTTGTACTACAGTGTTTGTCTTGTGAGTTTCCCAGTCGAAACCTAGTATTCGACAAGCCAAGGGGCAAAAGAAAAGAAGAAAGAAAAACGCACCTTGGACCAGAAATCGAGGTACCTCCCCCGGATATAGATCCACGAAAACCAAGCTACCGGCACGGCGGGGAACGCATACGAGAAACCTGATCTTGTTAGGTTCCGCCAACAACATGTAGCATGTATATATACACTGGGAGCAACCAAAAACCAATACATACTGTAGGGAGCCCACTGCAGACCGCCCGCAATAGCGGCAACGAGATGAATCTGCCTCAGGGCGCGGTTATTCGGCCACAGCTTCTTGAGGCCGTAGAAGGCGAGCACGAGGGCCATGCCCAGCGGGAAGCCCAGCAGCAGCCATTTGTACTGGCCGTCCTTGCCAAACACCTTGATGGGGCCAATGGTGCCCCAGAGGACGGACGCGGTGAAGAATGTGTTTGGGCCGGGGCACCGGAAGCGCATGGGCGGGTTGAGCGTGCAGACGCCGCTGATTTCCATCTGCACCATGTTAGTATATACGCACGGGGGAATCAGAAATGCATCGGCAGTGATGATAAGAAGGAAGGAAGAGGGTTTTTACTTGGAATTTTATGATGCCGGTGCAAATAATGGTGGATATGAAGGTGGCAATCATTTGACCAGCAAAGGTGACGCGGGGTGGAATCTAGAAAATCACGTCAGTTGTGGAATTGTGCGGGTTTGGACGGAGAAGCATGTCTTTTACCTTGACGTAGTGCGCGAGCTTGAGATCGTTGGCGAAAGACAGCGCGTGGGCACAAGTGACGTATCTAGATGCAAGATTTTAGTGCGATGAGTATTTCGGAGGGCCAGCGGAGAAGAGAATTTTACCCGTAGGACTTGAAAAAATTCATGGCCAGAGCGTTGCCTTCGACAATCATGCCGCCTACGAACTCGGCGAGCACGTTGAGCGTGACCTCGATGCCCGTCATGGCGGCGACGATGCCGACGGGGATGACGAACATGAGGCACAGCCAGATGCCGTACAGGACGACGGCGGGCGAAGTGTACGTCGGCCAGAGGGCGATGCCGAGGACGCCAAAGACGATGGAGATGATGAGGGTAATGAAGTAGAACCACTCGGAGACTACATCGGCCGTCAGTGTAAAAGGGACACGGCGCTAGGAGAGGAAGAAAAAGAGTAAAAGGGGGTTACCTTCGGGATACGCAGCCATGAGACGATTGTGAATATCAAGGTATTCGCCATCCGTTGCGTGCTCATTACCCGGCTCGCCCTCGCTCTCCTTCTTATTGCGTCTCCATCGCAGCCCCTTGACGAGGTTCTTGAAGCCCATCTTGAGCTCGTACCGGTGGTAGAGGACGACGTGCGTAATCACAGCGGCGTAGATGGCGAAGAAGAACCCGTACAGCAGCGAGTTGGCCGCGCTCATGTAGGGCGCAGAGTACTTGCTGTACTTGTCGAGGTCGAACATGCCGCGGTTGTCCAGGGTCCGCGAGACATTGTACAGCTTGCCGAAGTGGTCGTAGATGCGGTTGCTGTTGATGGGGAGGTACGCCGTATTCCACGTGTTTGTGTACCAGACGCCGAGGATGAAGAGGCCGGTGATGAACATGCCGCCAGCAAAGTTGAATGTTGAGAAGGACGGGATCATCTTTGACAAGAGGAGGCGTGGGTTAGAATATGTTTTATTTTTCTTCGCTTTTTTATGGGAGGGGGGATCCTTTATTGGGAGTTGCGGTTGCAGATGACATACCAGGGGGTCAGTCTCGTTGAAGTTGATGACGTTCCAATCAAACGTGGGAAGAGGGTTGAATAGCTATTCAGGTTAGTTCATCTATGTCAATGTACAATATGGTTGCTGATGTCGAATATTGGATCCAAACTTACACCGAGACCATTCTGCATGCCAGTCAGGATATTCAAGTGCACGTTTTCAGGCGCAATCCACGTCATCCATGAAAAGTACGTAAGGACCTGGAACAAGTAGTTGGGGAACCAAAAGTAGATAAACATGGCAGCAAAAGAGATCATGAAGAATCGATATCTTGAAATGTTCCAGATCTTGCCAAACGGTCCCTGCACGGGGTGGTCCTCCTCGTTGTGCAGAGCGGTGTTGAGGGCAATGGTGACAAGGGACCTGGGCCACACGCAGTACGACGGGTACACAAGGAACTTTCTCGTCAGGCCAGCCAGGCCGTAGCCGATAAAGTTGGTGGCAAAGCCGTTGAGGAAGATGTAAGAAAAGCTACGAGCGTACTGCTGGTTAAAGTACTGGGGGAGCACCTGGGTCCAGACAATGTACTGTGTATAAGGCAGGCTTCGGGCCGTGTTGGCCATGATGGCGATGAGCATGTGCTCCTTCTTGTTGAATCTCCCCGGGTTCAGGTTGATGACCTGGCTGGTGAAGGGAACGCAAATCTCCTTCTTGGGCATCCACTTCTCCCATGCTTTGCCGACCGGATAGGCGAGTAGCTGGGCCATGTTGGTGTCGAATCGGATGGGTGGTTGACGTATGGAGAAGAGCTGGTTGACAAAGGCCAGGAGGCATGAAAAGGCGATGCCGATGGTCCAGGCCCGGATTGTAGAGACGGGCATGTTGGGGTCGTCGTGGTTGTCCGTGACGGCGCGGACTTCGGCGTATGGGCTGTTGTTGGTGATGAGGGCGGCTTCGAGCTTCATCTCTTGAACGAGGCGCTCGTGCTTCTCGGGGTGTTCCATGATGTCAGGATTATCTGAGGCGCCATGTAAGCAATTGCCCCTCAAAACAGGTGTTATGTACGAACCCATAAACTCCTTTATCTTCTGCAGAGTGACGTGGGGGAAGTTTGGATCTCCATCGTGGATAGCCAACACATTCTTCATGAGCTATTCGACCATGTCAGATGAAAGTTTGAAGATGCCGCGCTCATGGCCATGGCTTACCCGGCGGACGTGCTCCAAGCTCATGGAAGCTGCCAGCTCCTTGGCCTCGAGAATGTCATCTTCAGTGGCATTAAGATGGCTGGGTTGGCGCTTTTGTTAGACAGCAATGATGAGAAGACAACACAACGTTTTCTGAAGCGTGCTTACCCCTCAATGGTGTGAGTACGCTCGGCATCTTCCTGTGGAATCTACGGGCCTCCATTCAGTAACACTGGTCCCACGAACTGATTATCCAAGGATGGCAATTGGGAGAAGAAACCTACCGGGTGGTGGACAGTTTCAAACGCCTCTGTCTTCTCCAAAACCTGAGACGGCTTCTCCTTCGTCTCTGACTTTTCCATGGCTGCCACTTGTACAGAGTCAACCGGCTACAGAGACAACCCTTAGCTCGTTGGAGAGCAAACTCGTGAAGAAAGGGACAAAGTAACAGAGGGAGTAGCAGCGCGGCCTCGTCCTTTTCATGTCAGAAATCCAGGGCTTTTGTCAAACGGGACCATCTGTGTTGGCTGCCCTGCTTGGCTGAACCAAACAACAAAATTTCCACATCCTTAGCTTTCAGGCGGGTTTTGGAGTAAACCAGAAGTATCCTTAGCTACTCCGTAGCAGCTCCTGGTCCGAGACTCGATCGTGTGGCTGGCAAGGATGCATTGGCCAAAGGTTCAAATGGCGGGAGCAGGGCTTTCTGTATCCACCCCCAGATCTGCACGTCCAGATTCTTTTGTATCTATGTGGTCATGAGACTGGGTATGCCCTTTGCCCAGGGTGTTGTTTCTAGGTGTTCGGTATGCCAAGCAATACACCTCCAAGATGTGGCATATGCATGGCCGGGGTGGCTAGCAGCAGACAACCAAGTCTCTTACCAAAACATTTGTTTATAGTTAGTTTGGTCCGTGTTTCCGTAATTCTATGTCTCCCCACACAGATAAACTATCACTACCGTCGGGGACCAAAGACAGGTGAAGAAGGTGGACATTTTAGACTTCTGGCTTGGCAGGGAACTAGGCGGTATCAGGGTTGACGTGTGGCTTGGTGTATGTCCCCCATTTTGACTTTTCGTCACGAATTGATGGCAATTGACATTGGACGGGTTACATGTTCAGTACTCTGTACGACATGTCATTGACTCATTGGATATCGGATACCGGGTCCTGCGATGTCCTCCTCCGGGGCGATGGTGACTTGTGTTTGCGATATGTCGCGCGCATGTCCACCTGGAGTAGGAAATCAGTGTTTTCGAGGCAAAACATGCTGGTGTGTCCTCCTGAATAGCCCTTATCCGATGATGTGATAACAGAAACAGGCCAAGAGATGGTTGCTCCATTTCTCCTCCAAACTTCAAGGCGGCCTTCCCCATACGTCTTGATTTGATACAGCGATGGCACGGTACAAAAGACATTATGTAGCTCCAGGTAATAATACTATCGGCATGTAGCAGAATGTGTCCTGGCACCGACCAATGATTGACCGAATGTTGGTTAGTTACGAGACATCATGTTGCCTCGCATATTCCGTCATACCACCAACCACCAAGACTCGTGACTTTTGGGTGGCGCGCTCACCGCGGTTGGGCCTCTTCCAAGAGGATCGACACTGACAGTGATAATTTTCAAGGCCACCAAACAG